GCAGCTGCAGCTGCGCCCGCACACAACATAGCAGCTGCAACAGCATACAGCATAGCACCTGCTGACCAACACACACACACATACACACACACAGCGGCAGCGCAACAGGAGCTTGCAGAGCAGGCAGGTCTGGGCGTAAAATTCTTGGTTTACCTACTATTCTTGAATAATATTCTTATATTTTCTAACATTCAGGCTGCTAGAGCCCTAGCAAAGAATCTTAATTTAGTGTCTTAGCAAGGAATATTAAGCTTAAAACCTTCTACGCTTAATAACTATTCTATTACTAGGCCTAACGTACTCCACAAGCGAGCTGGCCACCCAAGCGAGCTGGCCACTTTTGCCAAGACCACACCAATACTGCACCTACTTTGCAACATTACAGCACACAACTATAATATATTATACTACACAGTATACTAAACTAGTCTGTAGTACTCTGTGTATCTTTACTGTATGTTCGCGCGTTGTGCCCTGTCTTGCTACATGTGCTACAGCGCCTTAGAGACTGAGTGCTCCTATTAACACGCGACCTCTTCTTTGCCTTCTTCCCATCACTACAGGCCTTAAACTCCTTTAGAGTAGTCAGCTGCACTCCCTCAGCAAAGACTAGAGTCCCCTCTCACTGTAATTGCTTCCTTTTGTGTGATTTACGATGTGTGGCAGCCTTGTTGGCTGCCTGTAGGTCAGCAACCTAGTTGCGCACTAAAACTAGTGAATGCGCTATCAGCTCTGCGCCTTTAGTAAGCTAATTAAGAGCGTTAACTATAGATGTTGGCGAGCTATTAGCGTGTCTCTAAATCCTCTCTCAAATTAGCTTTGATTGAGACCTAAATTCTAGGGTGTTGCTTAGTGTTTTAGACTCCCACGTACTGTTGTCCACAGTAGGTGGCGTTGGCGTGCGCAGCTGTACTTTAAGCTTCAATAGCACAGCCTCTAGGTCAAGTAGGACTAGGCCAGCACCTCTGAATCCCCCCTAGATGTTGCTCTCTGTGATTAAGGCGTCAAAAGCCGCTTTGAAGCACGGCAAGAACTCAAGTTTGGTGATGCGAGTAATCTTGCTGCGCATCAGCCGCTTGGCTTGGCGGCCATAGGCCTTCTTCAATGGGGCAAAACAGCCTACGTCAAGTGGCTGCAGTAGGTGCGACGAGTGTGGAGGCATACACAGGGTAATAATCTTGTGTTCCTCGCAGTACTGGTGGAATTCGACTGAGTTGTGGCTCTCGTGGCCGTCCAGAATAAGCAGCTGATGGCTGCTAACAGTGCGCGCCTTTGTGTGCTTATTAAAGTGCTTCAACCACTTAACTCTAAGCTTGTTGTTGGTCTAGCTGTTGTTAGAGACATTAAGAACCTAGTTGTTAGGTATACTAGGCTCCTTGTACTAGGCAGAGAGGTGGTGCTTGCTAGAGAAGATAATGAAGGGTGGGATAGACCAGCCCTTCGCGCAGATGCCTTAGATAATACTAGTCCACTCTCAGTCGCCCTGCTGCACTGCCTTTGGTCTCCCTTGACGCTCAGAGCCTGTGACAACAGCTCCTGTTGATATAACGCCTATTATAAAGCCAGACTTATTAAAGTTGTGGGTGTCTTTATCTTGTATACTATACTTAGCTTTAGTATTCTCTACTAGTTAGAACTAGTCCCTAATCACCTTAGGATCCTCACACAGAGCTCTCTTATAGTCATACTTGTGATTGAATTTGACTTTGAGCTCTGGCCGACGTTTTACAAAGTTGGCAGCCCAGTTCTTGCCAACGTAGGGCTGGTGGCGCTCAGCAAGCAGAGAATTGGCCATATCCTCCACATCAGCAAGCCGGGGTGGGTATCCTCGCTCGTCTAGCTTCAATACATGCTGGACAATCACCTCCTCCT